GAGGTCAATGAAATTGGGTCACAAGGTAGTTCCCCGCTGGGGCTATCCAACACCGTTTACCGCTTGTCGCTATGTTGCGTGGTTCTTGAGATCTGAGGGGGGGGCCAAAATGGCCCCCCCCCATCAGACCGCGTTGCTCGGCAGACCCCATCTGGGCGCGGGTTAACCCGCGCCGGGCAGGTGCTCCGCGACTTCCGCGCCGGGCCGGGGGGGGGGGTGTCTGAAAACCCCCCTTCTAACTCGGCTCCTGGGTCACGTAGCGACACGCGGTAAGCGGCATTCAAAAGAGCGTCCAAAATAAGTACGAAAACACTTCAGTCATTTTTTGGGTCAGGTCAAAGGTCAGGTTACCAGAGGTCACCAAAGGTAAAATGTTGGCTATTTCAACATTTTGGAAACTGCCAACGGCTAACTCGGGAACCGATAGAGCTACAGCGCCGCGGAAAAGCGCATTGGATAGCTCTTTTGACGCTCTTTCGCCAATATGTCCTCAGATTTGACCTCAGGTCAACGGTTTAGCCTCCAGAGGGCAAAAACTCCAAAAATAGCCGTTTTTTACGAACAGTGTTTTTCGGCAATAACTTCTGACTCAAAAAAGCCACGACATTACTTTTGCCAGAATCGTGTTCCTCTTGTCAAAACGCGTCGAATGAACTATAAGTTGACCTTGAAAAGTCAACTTAAAAATTTGACCTCAGGACCTGACCGGAAAAGGTCATGTTGCATATCAGTCGATCCGCATCGTCGAGCCGAACACATCTAAGGCGTTTTCATCGCTCTATCATGCCTCTATCAGAAGTTATTAGCAAAAAACTGTTAGATACTATTCGTGACCTGAGATGACCTCGGGGACATCTCAGAACGAGGGGTCACACTCCGGGTCACAGGTGCAATTTTCGGGTTCAGTGTGTCCATTTTACCTACATCCCGATGTTTGAGAGTGTCTAGAATGGCGTTCGTGCAAAACAGACGCCTTTCAATTTTCTCCCATTGAATTATAATAGAGAGGCCGCAAAATTGACCTGACCTTAGGTCACCGATATCGAAATTCCTAGATACACGTTTAATAGGTTTTTATACACGCTTTTATAGGATACACGAGATACACTGTTACTCTCATCAATCGCTGAAAGTTTCAAGGCAATCGTGCGGTCGGTGTAGCCATGACGAACATTCTAATTTGTTTCTGACCTGACCTTGAGAGACCTGGGTCTGAAATTTTCACAGCATGTGCGGAAAAGATGCACGAACAGGTGTGTTAAAAACGGCGGCGCGGAGCTGCGAAAAGCCGCCGGGGGGGGGGGGGGTGTTCAAACACCCCCCGGCCCGGCGCGGGTTAAGATAGAGCAAAACAAAAGCACCAGTGAACTCAGCACGTCAAGGCGTGTCGAATGATATACTTTTTTGTTTGCTTAAGTGTACTTAAAAGTGTAGGTATTAAAGTGTACTTAAGTGCACAACTTAAGTAAAACTTAAGTCTTAGGAATGGTTGAAATGCTTAATGTTGCATATCATTCGACTCAGCTGTTCAAGAGGAACAGAATGATACCATTTTGAAACCTGTTCTATTATGTGACAAGTTATCGGCACAAACGTCATTTGACCTGAGTTGACCTCATTTGACCTGAACCTTAGATAAGTACACCAAACAAAGAAACACCGAGTGACATTATGTTAAGTACTGTGGTATCAAAGAACAAAAGGGATACAACGAAGCGGACATCTCTATATTTTCCGAATAGGAGTTATTTGAATATTTTCCCATAGGCTTAACATTACGACGTAATGACCCCTAACTGACCTCAGGTCAGTGACATAAAAAACGAACTACATATTATACAGCTCGGTGAACTTAGCACATCCTGAAAGTTTGAAGGAAATCAGTCCAAAACTGTGCGTTGGACAGGTACATAAAAAATTAAATTTGACCATAACCTTGTACCCGTTTTTCTGACATGGTGGCCTGACCCAAGGTCGACCGGACCTGAAATTTGCAGATCACATGAAAAAAGGTTGCCCCATAGGTTGTGCCAAATTTAGCGGCGTTGCGCGCCGCCAATTTTACGCTATCTTTGAAAAACCTTAGGGGGGGGGGGGTCGCATCGACCCCCCTGCCAGGGTGAGGGTTAAGCTTTACTAATAACGCTAAGAACGTCACCAAACATACAGAGGCCGTCAAAAAGTAAGCCATTTGGAGGCCCCCTCGATAGAGAAAAGGCCCCCTGGCAAGCGGAACACGGAGGCCCCTTTGAGCCCGGGCCCCCTCCCCTGGAAAATCCTGGGTGCGCCCCTGAGAGGAGTCGACCTTAAAAAAAAAAGACTGTTGTTGGCACGTGTTTATGGCGCGGCAGCTGGTAGTTGGCGGTGTTTCGCGTGGTGTGGCATCACTGGCCGATCCAGGGCGGGGGGGGGGGGGCACGGGAGCCTGAGGTGCCCCTGACAGGTCCATGGTGCCCTTGCTAGGCCTGTGGTGCCCCTGGACCCTGGCAGGCCTGTGGTGGCTCTGGCGGGCCTAGGGTGCCCCTGCTAGGCTGCTGATGCCCCTAGGACCTGACAGGACTGCGGTGCCCCTGACAAGCCTAAAGCGCCCCCAACAGGCCCGTGATGTCCCCGACAGGCCCAAGGTGCCCCTGCGTGATGCCGTGATGCCTGCGATGCCGGCAGGGCCTCTGACAGGACCATGGTGCCCCTGCGAGGCCGGTGGTGCCCCTGGCAGGTCTCTGGTGTCCCTGACAGACCTGGGGTGCCCCTGACAAGCCTGTGGGCCCCTCACAGGCCCGTGGTGCCCTTGCTAGGCCTGTGGTGCCCCTGGCGGGCTGGTGGTGCCCCTGCTAGGCCGGTGGTGCCCCTGACAGGCACCACCCGGGCACCACGGGGGGTCATGACCCATGTGGCCCCCCTTGGATCTGCCACTGATACATAATATATTGATTTGTAAAGGCTAGACCGGTGGTGCCCCTGGCAGGCCTGTGGTGCCCCTGCTAGGCCCCTGGTGCCCCTGGGCCCTGACAGGACTGTGGTGCCCCTGCTAGGCCTCTGGTGCCCCTGCAAGGTGGTGCCCCTGTAAGGCCTGTGGTACCCCTGCTAGGCCTCTGGTGCCCCTAACAGGCCCATGGTGCCCCTACGAGGCCGGTGGTGCCCCTGGCAGGTCTCTGGTGTCCCTGACAGACCTGGGGTGTCCCTGACAAGCCTGTGGGACCCGTCACAGGCCCGTGGTGCCCTTGCTAGGCCTGTGGTGCCCCTGGCGGGCTGGTGGTGCTCCTGCTAGGCCGGTGGTGCCCCTGCTTGGCCGGTGGTGCCCCCGGGCACCAAGGGGGGTCATGACCCATGTGGCCCCCCTTGTATCTGCCACTGATACATAATATATTGATTTGTAAAGGCGTTATGGCTTATGCAATATGCAATTGCAGGCACTTGGTATCCCTCACTTATCCCTCATTGGGGGCTCTGGCGGGCTCCTGAGGGCCCACGTCTATCTCCATTCTCCGGGAGCCCTAGACGGGCTCCTTTGGGTCCTTTCAGTCCACTACAGCATAAGAGGTCTCCACGCAAGTCCTATACATCTGAGGGCGTACCCTGACGTCTGAGGTACCCAACTGCAGCTCCAATGGTCTCTTACACTGGCGGATCCAGGGAGGGGGCATTTAGGGCCATGCCCCTTTCCCAGAGGCCTAAAGTGGCCCGTTTGCCCCTCCCCCAAACGATAATGAAACATAGTTCAATCAGTGCGTGGCCCAGGAGCCGAGTTAGACTGGGGGTGTTTTACCACCTCCCGGCCCGCAAAGGGACCCAAGAACTGACTCGAAGCGGGTTAACTGGTCGACAAAAGCAATGGTAAGTGTTCACAAAGTAATATAAAGGCATGGGTCGGGTTGACTACCATTTATATATTTTTCTTTTTAGTTAAAAAAAAATAATAGTGTCAGAGCTGTGACGAAAAATAAGTGGCCTAAATCCGATGAGAAAACAGGATTTGGGGGTACCCTAGGTTTGGCTCCGCATGAGTTGGCCCCCCCCAAAACGCAAGCCTGGATCCGCCAGTGAATGGAGGGCGAAATTAGCGAACTTTAGCTCATAAGACACAATTTCAGACACTTAAAACATAATTTTTAGTCCTTTCTTATAATTATTATGGCTCCATTTAGTCAATATCACATACGGAATCATTACCTGATGCCCATAAACTGAGCCGGTATTCTTGACTTGCCGATGCAATTTATCATCAAATATCATCGTTCCTCGGCAGTCAAACAAGTTCCTATTGATGATTTAATACAACTATCAACTTATTTTCATGTTATCGCATAAAACTTAACTTTATTCCAACTTTGGCTCTTCGGCTGTAATCACGAACCCTCACTTGTCAGCAGAATTTAAGCAACTTCTTAAATCAAAACTGGGAAAAGAATATTTCCATGACATTTCTCAATTCCTGTTCTACCTGGTTCACAAAAATTTTCATCAAAATCGGTTATAGGTAAGTAATAAACGACAAAAGTATACAAAAATACACGCTCCGCCCATAGCCCGCAATGCTAAAATGACGCCAGCGCCCTCGCCGTCGGGAAATCCGCCGCCGCCGCCGGGTGGTCGGAAAATCGGCGGAGTGTCCGATCCAGGAATACCTAATCCATGGTCCGCCGCTGGTTCGCTATTTCTTGTTACGCGAGTCTTGTAACGCCATCAGCCCGCTTCTGACGTTACAATTTTGGTTCAGCTGTCAAAGTTTGCACGTGGACCCGGTGAGTACCAGCCGAATGTCACACTTGTCGCCCTGTGTCCGGCGACATTTGACAGTGCCAGATGTAGGTGACCCCATGTGATGCAGGTATCACCGGCGCTCCCCGGTGACGACTGTCAGAGTGCGGCGCTCGCTCGCACCGCGCGCACGTCCCGCTCGAGCTGAGCCCCCGCCCCAGTGATGAGGACCGGGATCGGCCGCCTGCTGCCCCTGCTGGTGGCCGGGCTGCTGTTCACCGGCGGCAGCGCCCAGCTGACGGCCGCGCAGAGCTCTCCCTCCAGTCCGGGACAGAGCGTCGCTGTCGGTGGCCAGCAGCTGACCGCGGCGGGTCCTACCCGTTCCCGCGACCAAGGGCGGGCCGCGCTGAGCTCTGCCAGCGACGCTGGGTTAGGGCGGGCCACGTCGGGTTCCGCCAGTGTCCGCGACACAGAGCCACCGGTCTCGGCGAGTGCTCGGACCACGTCGGGTTCTGCCAGTGTCAGCGAGACTAAGCCGCTAGCCTCGGTGAGTGTCGCGTCACCGGCTCTTACATCATCCAGGAGTACTAATACGGCGCAACGCCGTCCTATAATTGAGGGGGATACATTTCCACCGTGCCGCTGCGTGCCGACAGAAATCTGTCCGCCGGCCGGACGCGTCATGAGATGTGTGCTGCCGGGACGCCGCCGCGATGTAGAAGCCAGCAAGCTCGGCTACTGCTGTCGCGGATCGCTAGTGTCCCCTGCAACAGTAGGCGCTGGTATACAGATCCAAGCCTCCGAGTCACCGCCGACGGCGGGTACCTCCACGGCGGGTACCTCTACGGCGGGTACCTCCACGGCGGGTACCGTCGCGGAGGGTACCGTCACGGTGGGGAAGTCGACGCCGAAAAACACCGCTGCCAGTGGCTCCAATTTGCCTATTACATCATCTACGAGTGCTAATACGGCGCAACGCCGTCCTATAATTGAGGGGGACACCTTTCCGCGGTGCCGCTGCGTGCCGGCAGAAATCTGCCCGCCAGCCCTACGCGTCAGGAGATGTGTGCTGCCGGGACGCCGCCGCGATGGCCTGATCTTCAGTAGCGCAGATATACGCAACAGAGAAGCCAGCAAGCTCGGCTACTGCTGTCTCGGATCGCTAGTGTCCCCTGCAGAAGCGGGCACTGGTATACCGATCGAAGCCTCCGAGGCACCGCCGACGGTGGCTACCGGCACGGCGGTTACCGTCACAGGGGGTGAGTCGACGTCGAAAGACACGGCTGTCAGTGACTCCAATTTCGACCTGGTCGTGGCGGACGGCGCGAAGCGTCCCGTGTTCTCCGAGACGGTAGTGTCGGGCGGCCGGAGCGGCGAGCGCCAGCTGCTCGAGCGCTCGCCGCTGCCGGCTGGCGCCAAGGTGTTTCTGCGCCGCATGGCTCTCGACTCCGGAGACAACGTGGCCCGGCGCGCCGTAGTGGCACCGCGCCGGCGCAGCCGCCTCTTCGCCACGGTGGCTCCCAGCGGTGGCCAGGCAACACCGGCGGCCCAGAGCGCCCGCTCCGCCGCCTCCTCGGCGACCGTGTCCAAGTCGATGCAGTTCCTGCGGAGTGTAGGTGTGGTGGTGAGCGCGCCGTCGCGAGTGCCGCCGCCGTCGGTCACCAGCCGGCAGCAGTCCAGGAACCTGCGTCCGTCGGCGGAGGCGCAGCAGCAGGCGCTGGGGGCGCTGCAGCTGCTCCAGCAGACCCGAGTGAGGCCGCGCCGGACGGCTGGCACAGCCGCCGGACGGTCACCACGTCCCGGCGCACGCAGGCGCGTCAAAAGGTCGGCCATGCCTCCGCCACCGTCGCCACCGCCGGTCGATGACTGCAGCAAGCGCCTTCCAGGGAGGTGTATTGAAAGGGAGAAGGTCACCCGCTGTCTTCGTCGAAGATACGGCGTATGCATTCGCCGCGGAAGTGCTCAAGGCAAATGCATCAAGCGCCTCCCCGGGAAATGCATAGAACTTGAAGTGCAGAACTGCCAGAATGAGCCGGATATCAAATGCAAGGATAGACCTCTCAGGTACCGCTTCATCAATGGCCAGTGCAACAACATGAATCAGCCTCGCTGGGGACGCCAGATGACGGGCTTGCGCCGTCTGATGGACAACACATTCGAAGACGGCGTGTTCGCGCCGCGCAGCCTGTCGGCGGCCGGCGGCCTGTTGCCCGACCCGCGGGCCGTCAGTCTGGGCGTGTTCCACTCCGACGGCGAAGTCGACCAGCAGCGCACCGTGTCGGTGGTGACCTTTGGCCAGTTCGTCGACCACGACCTCTCGCTCTCGCCTACTTTCGGCAGGGACGCCATCGAATGCTGCAGAGAGGACCTGAACGGCTCGCTGCCGCTCCGTCAGCAGCACCCGCAGTGTTTGCCGCTCAAGGTGGCCGCCGACGACCCGCTCTACAAAGGCAAAAAGGCGCGACGCTGCATCAGCTTCACGCGCACCATGCCGGCGCTCGACCCGCAGTGCATGGCCAAGCCGGCCACCCAGGTGAACGAGCTGACCAGCTGGGCGGACCTGTCGCAGGTGTACGGCAGCACTGACGATCTCAGCGCTAACCACCTGCGCTCGTCCATCGGCGGAGCACTGCGCACCAGCAAACGCGGCAACTTCCTCCCCAGACGGGGAGACCCGGACGACGAGACGCTGGAGTTCCTGGCGGGCGACGGACGGGTCAGCGAGAACCTGCTGCTCTCCCTGTTCCACACGGTGTTCTTGCGCGAACACAACCGGGTGGCCGCTTCGCTGGCGGCGCGCCACAGCTGGCACGACGAACGTCTATTTGAGGAGGCCCGCCGGCTGGTGATTGCAGAGTACCAGCACGTCCTCTTCAACGAGTGGCTGCCGGCACTGCTCGGCGAAAAGTTCACCAAAGATGTCGGCCTGAGTGGCGACTTCGGTAGAAAGACGTACTCCGATATCATAAACCCCAGCGTCAGCACCGAGTTCTCGACAGCCGGGTTTCGGCTGCACTCGATGGTGCAGGGCGTCGTGGAACTGGCCACCAGAGTCGGTCGAATTCGGCGACGCATCCCGCTGATGGGCAACTTTTTCCGCTCCAACGAGCTGGTGGTGGCTGCGCAGCTGGTCGAAATGGCACGAGGCATCACCCGAACACCCGCCATGCGCTTCGACGGCAGCTTCTCGGATGAACTGCGCGGAGGGCTGTTCCAGTTCAATCCCGACCAGAAGGGCGGAGGAGTCGATCTGACCGCTCTCAACATCCAGCGCGGCAGGGACCACGGCATCCCCACATACTCGACTGTGGCATCGCGCTGCAACAACATCCCGATCCGCAGCTGGAGTGACCTGCACCAGACCATCCCGGAGGCAGACGTGCGCCGTCTGCGCTCCATCTACCGGGACTGGCGCGACATCGACCTGTACGCCGGCCTGAACCTGGAGCGGCGCGCTGCCGGCGCCCTGGTCGGACCCTCCACGCGCTGCCTCATCACCGACCAGTTCCTCCGCACTCGCTACGGCGATCGGTTCTTCTTCGATCACGACGGCCACCCAAACAGCTTCAACGAAGATCAGCGGAAGGAAATCCGGCGCACGTCGTGGGCGCGCCTGCTTTGCGACAATGTGGGCAGCGGGTTCGACTCTGTGCAGCCGCGCGCCTTCCTGGCCGCTACCGGAGACAACAAGGTCGTCTCCTGTCAGTCTCGCAGCATCGACCGGGTCGACCTGACCAAATTCTGAGCCGGTCACAGCCCGCGCGCCCGCCGGTCCGTCCCGACTGAGTCGGCAGAAAGGATGGCACGGCCGACGGTGAACTGTTAGGCAGGGAGAATTGTCAGACAGGGAGAGTTGTGTAATGTGAAATGTGTAAGGTTTTATTACCGCGATTGAGACAGCACTTAGCTGTTTCCATTCTCAAAAGCAGCAAAAAAATGTCACAGGCGTTGTTGTTGCCGCTATTGCGGCTCAGATGGTGTTCCAAGTCCCAAACATGGTTGGACCTCGATGTGTATGTGAAGCGTTTTACGACACAATTGACGGGTCAATAATAAAGAGGAATCTAAAAAAAATATATATATTTCGAAATTTAAATCGATTATAATGATGTTTTGAAAGACAGCTAAAAGCAAAATAATACTAATTATAATAATCGCAATGCTCCCATGCTTACGAAAGACGAATTTAAAGGTCGCAACAAAACAAAAGTTACGAGAAACTATCAGCCTTGTGCCGTTACAAACATCAGCTACACAGATACCAGCTAGATAGCTAACATGCCAGAGCTCTTGGTGGTACAAAGTCGAAAGCTTCTATGTAGATAGTTTTTGTCACCTATGGAACTAGGAAGTCACGTTTAGAAACCACGAGTTAGGTTTTTATTTACATTGTTTATATCTCACCTTATAATAAGCACGAAAACGAAAGTGAATGCTTAAACAGTGAAATGGAGTTAAAAAATATAACTTTTGCCGAACACTGTTTAAGCTTCAGTCTTCATCTTTCAAGAAATCTGCTTTTGCAACTGTCAAAGCGTTACAACCGGTATAGGTAAGTTCGTTGACATAATAGCATTGTTTGGAACCGTGTCACACTAAAAAATGTACTGCTTCAAATTTATAACCATACAATAATAATACAATTTAAAAACCACTGCACCGCGGGTGCTGCGACCTCGCCCATTGCATGCCTCCCGAGTTTATGCATAAGTGCTAGAAAAACATCGTTTGCTAGTCGGACCGCACCAACCACCCGACCACGATGTATCCCCACGACTACCCTCCATTCTTGTGTCTGCCACAATGCGTTAAACCCCACAACTCCACCACATACGGGTACACAAACACCTGTGTACGTCAGCCAGCGGTGTATTGGTGCCGGCCCCGTGACGCGCATCACAGGAACGGTTCTAGGTTCACCTCCAGAGCCGAGCACGGTAGGTTCAGCTCGAACTTCGTGATCACGTCCGGGTGTAGTACTCCTAGTCGGCCGATCGGCTCGCCGTAGGCCAGCACGTCCGCGCACCGGCCCGGGAAGTAAGACGGGTCTGCGGACAGCGGGCGGGTGTCACGGGTGTATCGAACCGAGAGATACGAAACGGAAGGGGGTAACATGTCCGCGCACAGTCCAATGAAAAAGGACCTACAAAATAAGGTTGGATAGGCAAATATGGCAGAAATGAGCTGCATTACAGACTTGAATCAAACCTCGATAATGAGCCACACTGTACACATACCGTCGGCTGGTCGGAGGCAGTAGCCGCTGGCCGGGTCGGAAGGCACCTCCAGCAGCTGCATTAGCCGGTCCAGCAGGCCGTGGATCACCTCGAAGCCGGACGTCTTGCTATAGCTGACGGCGGCCAGACGCCGCTCGTTGCGGGCGCCCGTGTCTGCCGGGCGGGCCGAGACGGTGAGTCAGAGGGGGTTAGGACAGAATATAACGCTTGTCGCCTATTCACACAGTCACCGTCAGCTATCATCGGACGACACGGAATGGGGATGGTGTCTATAGCACAAGTCTACAGAAGCGTAAATGTATTTTTTATTTAAATGATGGCAAATATTTCGACCCCCATTGAGGAGCCTTTTTCAATGCGAAATTACATGGAATAATAAACGATGCAGACACTTATGGTATACTTTTCAGAGTCTTGAGACTCTAAAAAGTATACCATTAACTTATCAACCTGAGTAAAAGATAAAATGACTTTAAAGTCCCACTTTCTACAGAAGCGGTTAACAGTCAACACGCAATGGTTTCTTTACCCACATTACCCAGCCACAGCCGACATCAAACGCCGCCGCTAGCCAAAGCTGTTAATAGTTTGTGTCTCCTAAAGTAATCCGATCCTAGCCATCATTTAACAGGCAGAGGCAGAACGGAACGGACTGCCACTGCAACTGTCGACCGGTTGGTAATTGACAGAACGCCATCCAGCCATCCATCCAGAAACACAGACAGACAGCAGCGTCGCCACTCACCGGCCAGCCGGTCCTTGAGCACGACATCCGACACCTCGAACAGTCGCAGAGGCAGCGGCATCTTACGGTTGGCCGCCACCGTTTTCAGCAGGCCGGGCACCAGCGAGGTACGAGCCACCTGCAAACCGGACGGAGAGACGGGCACTGCTGAGCGTCCGTTCGGGCGTCCATTCATTCATTCCTTGAACTATTCATTCATTTATTTATTTATTCATTCATTCATTCATTCATTCATTAAATTCATTCATTCAATATTTCATTCAATCGGCAATTGTTTAATTAATTAATTGATTAATTAATTATTAATTCATTCATTCATTAATTCATTCATTCATTAATTCATTCATTAATTCATTCATTCATTAATTCATTCATTCATTAATTCATTCATTCATTAATTCATTCATTCATTAATTCATACATTCATTAATTCATTCATTCATTAATTCATTCATTAATTCATTAATTAATTAATTCATGCATTAATTCATTCATTAATTCATTCATTCATTCATTCATTCATTCATTCATTCATTCATCAGCACGACACAGTCGGAGAAACAGATAAATTTCTTAATTGCTTTGATAGCTTCATAACAATAGAAGCCAAGAATCACGGAGCATACTGCGTCAATCAATGCTGCTTTACTGCTGATATGGGTTACAAACTCAATACGAAGTTAAAACCGCCTGAGAACATCTGCAGCGTTACACACCTGGAACTCCAGCGTCTTTGGGTTGGATATGTGAACGACGGGCAGCTGTGAGATGTCCTGACGCATCTTGGAGCCGATGTCCGCCTGCGAGCACTGCGGACACGCAGAGTGGACGAGTGTCAGTAGGGGGACCCGGACCACGTGAGCTGCAGGTGAAACCACGGATCCAGTTAGGTGACAACTATATATGTGAAACGAAAGTCACGGGACTGGTGAAAAGGATGGCACAGGAGCAGACGAAGCAGCAAGGTAATGGTAGGAGTTGCAGTGAAGACGGGAAACTAGTGGAGCTGCGCGAGCAGGACAAGCGCTGGTTCGGCTCAATTGTGAACACTGAACAGTCATCAGTCACGGCAATGTGGATTGACGTGCATATTGTTTTACAGAGGTTCGCTTTGTTCGAGGTGTCAGAATTCAGATACAATCACTAGCCGCTCTGCCACTCTAATAGAAAGGTGAAGTAATGTGAGTAAAGGTGTTGTAGACCGTAGTCACTCATAGAGATGTCAATCGGATACCAACTTTTTGGTATACCGATACCAAACCGATACCAACTCGGTATTTGGTATTTCAATTCTAATATGTTTGGTATTTTGCTGGAATCATGAACCCTCGCTAATGTTTAAGAGGCTAAGAAATCGGTAAAAGGTTGGTATTTTCCTCATTTTTCCAAGTTGGTTTGGTTTCGGTATTTCTCCACGGTTTTGGTTGGTATTTGGTTTGGTATCGGTATTCCGATTTTCCGTAATTGACATCACTACTCACTAGTGAGCTGGGATAACATTAGCGTCCTTCATGACTCACAAGTCAGTAGTTATGTGATCACAAGCTTGCTCACAACTAAAAGCGTAAGAGTAGCCCCGTAACTCACCAGCGAGAATGTGAGCGCCTCGGTGAATCCCGCCTCGGCCACTTGGTGGCGCACTTGATCCGACAGCTTGTTCAGCGGGTTCTGTAAGCAGAGCATCAAACGGCTCTCAGCCACGTAACACTTCACCATGTCAGTAACCCAAGGCAGTCAACCCAATGAAATTACTAGGCATAGTTAGACATGCTACTTCACTGCATACGAGGAAAATAAGCCGGTCAGGTAGTCGGTACGCTTATAAAGTAACACCATCGTAAGCGTACTGTGTGCTTGCAATCAATCGTTTGCTCGTCCCCTAGTCCTATCTAACCAAGTAGTTAGATGCAAACTGTCTCTCTCACTTTCACCCTTGCTTTCCCATCGCTATTCTCGCCGTGCGATGTCCCGCCTACCTGTACGGCGATGACGCCTATGGGCGGAATCTGTTTCTGAATGTTGTTGTAGCCGTAAGCGATAGCCACGTCCTCGACCACATCGCAGGCGTGCAGTATGTCGTGTCGCGTGGGCGGCACCTCGACCGTCAGCCGGCCGCTGGACGCCTCCGACGACAGGCACATCTTGGTGAGCAGGGTGGCCAGCTGGTCCGCCGACTGACTGTTGGAACAAGGGTGGAAGGTGAACAGGGTGGCTTGGACAGTCAGGATGTGAACTGAGCAGGGAAGTCGATCATGGCCGTTAGTATATGAGCTCGTGAGTGCTTGGAAAGATCCGGCGGGGAAAGCATGCACATTGCACATAAGTTATTTATTGAGTTCGGACCCGGAGTTGACTTTATCAAAAAACATTGAGACTGTGCAAATGGCATCTAACAGCCACTGCCTTATGACTCAAATATCGTGTCCATTGAGCTAAAATCAGGGTACCCGAGACAAGCTACTACTCCGCTACTACTCCTTACTTGATTCCCACGTTCCTGTTGACGAGGTCTACGTCGATGGCCTCTTTCCTGTAGGCCAGCGTGGGATACACGTGCTTCTCGCCGCTGGGGTACTCGACCTCTGCTGACTCGACCGTGTACGCCTCCTTACAGTACTGGCTGAACATGCACACCAGCGTGTCCAGCACTATCTTCGCCTGTAAACAGAGTACTAGCTGAACAGTAAACATACATACAAGTGCATCCCGCACTATCTTTGCCAGTGATAAACAAGACACTTGCTACTTCAACTTGGTCCCACGTACACACAATTATCACTAAACTGAACAGTATTGGCTCACCAAAATAACAGTTGCATGACATCTTCAATATTTTTATTTAAAAAGATAGCAAATTTGAGCTGTTGAAAATGACACCTGGCTAACAAAAGCAACTTTCAACCATGAAAATAAACTCCTCTGATGTCTCGAAACCCCATACTTGCCCGGTGTTTAGACCACACCCCGCCCACTGCCTTGGTGAGGTCGGTGGCTGTTAACACCCCCCCCCCCCCCCTCCCACCCCAACCTCGGTGAGGACGGTGGCCGTTTGGTCCCCCCCCCCGTACATTAGTAAGGCTAGCTGGCCTTACTAATGCAATGTAAGGCTAGTAAGGGAAGGCCGTTTGTCCCTCCCCTGCCCCGTACCTTGGTGAGGTCGGTGGCCGTTTGTCCCTCTCATACCTTGGTGAGGTCGGTGGCCGTGCACTCGATGAACACGTTCCTGGTGGCCAGTGTGATGCGCGAGTGGTGTCCATTGATGATGGGAGGCATGCTGAGCACCACCCCGTCAGCGTCCGTGATCACGGGGTACACGGGGCTGTCGCGGATGATGGGCAGATACTGCTTCAGGTGGCTGTCACCCTGGGACAACGGAAAGGGCGGGAAGCGGTACCGTCAGACATAACAGGGGGAACAGGGCCCAAGAGTTATCGAAAACACTGGAGTTACAATTTTCAGAACGTAAAATTACATCGCTAAGACGTTGGTAATCAATTCACTTTTAAAGCAAGAACACGGAAAACACTGATAAAAGTATGTTTGACGGTTCAGCATTCTGCTATAAAGATTCACTAATCACTACAGACATCGAACTATGTTACAGTCATATTCATCCCAACTTCCATAACACAGCTTTGCTTGGGTACATTAGCCTCCCTTCCCGTTCAACACCACACAGTCGCCGTCCCGTTGTTTCTCACCGAGTAGAGTTCCATGAGCTCCGGCGCGGTGAAGGCGCGCGTCTGCGCCAGCGGCTGGAACTTTATCTGGCTGGGCGGCAGCGCGTCGTAAGTGAACGGGCCGCGGATGGTGTCCAGGTCGTGCGTGCCGATCGCTACCAGACTGCGCTTCCTGCGGCGGAGACAGTGCAACAAACGGTTAGAACGAGCTGCTGAAGTTGAACGAACTGTTCGAATAAAAACTAGCAGTTGAAATTTTAACGAACTTGGAGGGTCTGAAGATTGACAGACAGCAAGCTTCGAGAATTTTAGCACAAAGTGACTATCATCCATATTCCATAACCAATGATTGCGCACAGATCGCGTCTTCTAATAATTTCAACACAGCTTCGACCCTGATATAAATATCACATTCGTTTTATCATATTCCGCCGAGGTATAAAACTCGTGAAGGTTCCCGAAGGTTCTGAAATACGACGGTCTCTCGCAACAGGTAAATCAGCTGTCACAGTCCGGGTGTGCGTACCTGCAGAGGTTCTGGTGCAGCTTGTCCTGCAGGTCGATGAAGCTGTCGTAGGAGGCCTGGGTGAAGGTGATGTCCTTCAGGACGGCGGCCACCGCGTGCGGCCGGATCTGCTCAGTCTGTGGACCGGTCGCCACGGTCAGCATACAACAAACAGCACGGATTCGTTCGAATCACGACAAGAAATAGTGAAAATTATGAGAACGGGCTGCAGGTGGTATACCTACATTTGGTTTGATGATGAGCCGCTGAAGGGCGCCACTCCGTGGTTTGACGCTTCTATAGCGAGGGATGGCCAGCCTGAAATGTAACAGAACACCAGTTATGGCCGGATTTCTGCAGTACATAGTCTTAAAATACATGCTTCTCACAAACTAGATCTTTTATTGGAAAGAGTCGAGGCAAACAATGACCTTAGAATACCTACCTACCTTAAAAAACACACACATGAGTCCAGTGGAACATTTTCGAAATTATGACAATCGACACAATCGATATGCTACAAAGCAGGGAGCTGAATGACGGCAGCAAACAGCTAAAATAATGACTCGCCACTTTCAGGTCTTGACACCAGAACCGGAAAACCGTTCATCGCCATCCACACTTTTCAACTCCCTCGCCAATATGTCGTGATCAGAAAGCTCCCTATCATAGTTACTCACTTTCCCTGAAAGACGAGCAGACCGCGCGCGAGTCCCTCCAGACAGAGCAGATCATAGCGATTGGCTGGGATGTCCACCTTAAAGATGACGTCCTCAGAGGCGCCCGATGACTTGTCGCCGCCCTGCTCTTTGGATATCATCTGCTTCTCCGTGGTCTAATAAAAAAGAAAAGAAAAATGATATTGAAAATTGGTGTTAGCTCGGTAAAAGCAAGCAAACGCGAACGCTCTCCGGGCCAGACGCATTAAAGATTCCGTATCATAAGCATTGATTCATTTTCCTCCTACCTTCCATGCTTAGTTGATACGGTTAAAAATTTAACATTAATCGTTTATCGGTAATACGACAATCGGGTGAGACAAAGTACGCCCTGCCTCCCCTCTCCTGAGCCCCTCCCCCACCATAGACTGGCTGAGACCCACATCTGGGCGTCGGGCGAGGACTAGAATGTAAAATATGATAGAGGTCTTTCTTACCACTTCATCCAGCTCCAGACCGAATTCAAAACACAGGTCATTGAATTCCTCTTCAGCTGAAACAATGACACATTAGTCTTAGATAAAATAATAAATCGCTAGCAATCCATGCAGGTCCTTGCTCTTCTAGCTGTTCATAAATGACACTTTGTGGCTGCCAGCTAAGCCATCTAGGTGGCCTGGGTAGGAGCCTTGGCAGGTCCCTGGTACTTTCGGCCCCAAGTAGTGGGTCCGCAGCAGGATGCAGCACGACTTGTCACCGATGAGAGTTATCATTGAAAGCAAGCTAAATTTTTCTGATCACCTTGATGAAACATGAAAGGGGGAAACACAGTTGCTTTAGGCATCCTGATTCATAGCCTGCATCTTCAGGGGGCGAATGTCGCCTCCTGAAGATCTCAGCTCCTACGGGAGCTAAAAAGACAAAATTTGGAGGGTGGGTCGGGCAGTGAGGAACTCTATTGTGTGTCAATTTCATGACCCTAGGCCAACATCTTCAAGGTCAAATGAGGTCAAACATGGTCAAATTTGTCATCTTAGGGACTATTTTGTGTTTACATGCCAATAACTCACAAAATCACTGGCCAATTTTCTTATTTCTTACACTATATGAAAGTGCATACCTTTATGAGCATATATCAAAAATCTATTGATGATCCAACCATAACAATGGCAATTAGAACTTAAAAGCCTGCTCAGAGTAAGATATTGCCGGCTGAGGCAAGAATCGGCCAATGTGGAAAACGTTTGTCACAATTTTGTGTTAACACCCTCATACCTCAAAATGTTACCAGCTGATTTTCAAATTTATTCTACCATTACATTGCTTGTACATTTTTAAGTCTTCACAGAGATCTTGATGTGAATTGATCATTAGCAGCAGTACCTAAGCAGTGCAATGCAAAGACGGAACCATCCAGTGCTGGCACAGTCTGTCAGTCAAGCTGACATAACAGCTGGCACCAGCTGCTGTGGTGCTACTCCGGCAGGCTCTTTGACTTACTATACTCCTGTTACAAGAAAAATTGTAGATCAATTCACTTATTGCTTGCACAGTAAGACGAACATGATTCAGTTCTAGGCACATACCTATACTGAGACTTTAATGTTAATGGAATGGGCACAGTGAATTATTGGCCAAAAACAAGAGGGTTTGGCAAAATTTGCCCCTTTCACTACGCAGTACAATGTAATTACCAGGAAAAAAGCATAAAACTTCATGACTTACTGTATTTTCTCCCCAGAGCTTCAAACAAAAGATCACGATTTACACCAACAGTAGGCATCTTGGAAGGAAAGCACAAGAAATAATTAGCTTAAATATGTTTTCTATAATCCTACAGACATCAACAAACTTAACACCCGGAGCCCTTAACAATTCGGCAACACAACAAAAAAATACAACACAGCTGTGGCCTGTGGGGAGTTGCAATTTGCACCACACCCGTCAAAAGTGGAGCTAATAAAGGCTATTATCTGACCGGCACATACGTATTTTCAGCCTTATGGTTCCAAGGGATTTTTCGCTCTTCATATTTGTCGCTAGCGCGCCATTTTTGGCTCAGCTGATGATTGCTTCCAAATTTTAATAACTTCATATGCGCAGGGAAAATGAAAGGACGCCATTTAATTGCGTCCCAGAAAAGCTATTTCTGGCACCTAAAAGCTGACTCGCCCCAGAATTGGTCCTCAGCACCTATTTGGTGGATACCAGCACCAATCATGGAAAATGACCTTAATTAGCTGTTTCTGGCACCTATTCATCGGTACGCCTTACTCTTTTTTCTGAATCTGGCACCTAAATGATGAGCGTAGCACCAATCTAGTAGAAAAATGAACTACTGGCTGGTAGAATCATGTTGTTCTGGTATAATGACCCCTGGAGTCTAGCCTAAAGGTTGCCAGTGCAGCTACACTCTAAGACAGCCCCGTAGTGATCTCAGCATTGTATATGACGTTTAAGTAAGCAAAAAATATTTATTTGTTTGAAAAAACAATGTCATTTAAATATTTAAAAGCATTTATTTGTAATGCTTAAAGGAAAACATTTTTGTGAGTACCTAATTGTCTCGATTTTGACCATTGAAACGGGTATTGTATTTTTTGACGTCATCAAATAGCTCCAAAAAAGAAATGTAATGTTTTCATCCCGTTCAAGGCCGCTGAAGCAACGCGGGATCTTGCGTGGGACATTGTCCGTTGTTTGCCGCGCAGAGTTGTGCCGTGGTTGTGCCTTTTTCATCCGTTTCTTACTTATGTCATATGTGTGCATGAGGCTTTGATTTTGTTTTTGGTTATTGTGTGGCCGGTCAGTCAAATGCCCCTGTAGAAACCGGATGCTGCGTTTGATCGAGATGGAGTCAGACGATGATTGCAGAAAGCTAATAATATTGAAAGAGGGCCGGTAGCGTGGCATGTCTGTTCAGAGTTTACATTTTGCTTTACTCCAGTTTATGACCTGAGAGCCTGGCTGGAAGTGACGGATCTAAACTTTTCACGTTAAAATGGCTGAGGGTGCAATAATCTCTAGTCTCTACATAGCGGGCTGGTATAGGAGCGTCTTGCTATGCTGCACCATTATAGCTGGCTAGTGATTCTCTTTTGGCTAGAAATGGCATTAATCATTATCTCCACTGGCGAAAATGGCACTTGACATCACCGAATGCAACGTCCATGTTTGTTAGGATACATAAAATCAGGAAGATTACGCGAATTAGGTAGGCAAACGTGGAATAAAATAGGTGCCGGATGTTTTGGTTTTGGTGCTGAATCAGCAAACAGCAAATACGGGGTTCAACTAGACGATCTGGCAACTTAAAGGTATTATCAGGGTTTTTTTCCGAAATTTCGGAGTTACTCAGTGAAACGTGTAGAAGAAGGTGGCTGAGGCCCCAATCCGAAGTCATTCGTCTCAAAATTGCCTAATTTCCAAATGGTGGGCCTCCAAAGTTGATCCGTCTGCCAGCCAGTACCTGGAGGAGGCAGTACCAAGTACTCGGATACATTTCCCTATAAGTCCATAGGCTTAACACTAGCTAGAGACTTCTAGAGATATTTTTTATGCCAGATAAGGCCGTCGCATACCAGATAAGGCCGCAACGGCCGTTCAACGTTACGTGGGGAAATGGGAGAAATCTAAAGACTTTTTTTCTCTGACGTCTCCACTCCAATATCTCTAGCGCAACTGGCAAGCGTTGTGAGCATTGGCTCGTGTCGTCGTAAATAAGATTTGTTTGACGGATATTCCGTAAGTTGAGTGTGTTGTTGTAATTTCTGAGGCTGTATGAGTTGGACGGAATGGCGCCATCCCGCCATGTGCGAAATCTGTGCGAAACAAAGCTGTTCCTATTCATATTTGAATGTTCAAGACTTGTGGGCTTTGTAGCCAGTGCGTGTAGCTTCTAGATATCCTGTGGGTTATCAAAATAATTGAAAAATTATGTTGTGTGCTTTCAAACTAAGCTCATCCCGAGTGTAATTCAAGAATGTCTTAGTTCAAGCAATTTAACTTGAAAGTGATATAGCTCCAGCAATGTAGAAGCTTGGATGGAACGTTGAATCAAAGTTACCTATCATTTGTAATGTTAATGCTAAGTGCTGAACGTTACCAATAATTCGAGACATCCGTTGTAAGATGTATGACGCAGATCAACTTTGATCAAGTGAAGAAAATATATATCAGATGAAATAATGTCAATGTTCAAGGCTGAGCGACTGGCAGATTTCGGAGTGAGCACGAGTGGCCTTGAGACATTCTGTTTCTGTAGGCACTCAAAATAAATAAATTATCATGTTGTGTGCTTTGAGGTTAAGTGTTATCAGTGGTGCTTCATGGTTGTGCTTTGTGGTTGGTGTATGGGCATATTTTGAGCACATTGCAGCATGATATTGGTGGTGTGGTGTAAAGCAACTGATCTCCGCAGACTTTGCACTTACTTGCAAAGCCTGCGGACTGACTTTGCAGACTGGCTGACAATAGCAATGCATTGCTGACTGATATCATTTATTCTGTGTTTGTAGCACAAAGTACAGAAGTGGCACATACATTGTTACTTTGAAAACCTGATGTGAATTTGATGTAGAAAATTGGTGGCTGACGTTGAGTCCTTACGTATTGTGAGTAGTGTACAGCTAGTGCATTGAGCACAGACTTGAGACCAGTGACGTTTGTATCAGTAGACTGTGTTTGGGTCTACTTATATGGGTAGTCATAAAGCAGGCGTCACACTTCTTTTTGCAACCAACGAGAAGCGCTATACCCAGAGTTGCTTTGTCATCCAACCTTACCCAACCAAACCTAACCTTACCTACAACCTAACCTACAGCGCCTCTCTTCGTTCGTTCATGGTTGCAAAAAAATAAACAAGTGTGACGCCTGCTATACTACTACCCTTATATGGCGTTGGTTTGAGTGTGGTGACCGAGTAAGCTGGTGTGTATAGCCATGCAATAAGTGTTTTGAAATATATTTTTGGGACAGTATTGAAATGGTGTGTTTTGGCCATCTGGCATGGATGATGGAAAGCCACTAACTCAACTTTAGGAACGCTTCTTCATTATGCTCATCTAAGGCACAATCATCTATTTTCTCTTCGCAAGGATTGATTACTAATTCACTGTCAATTATAACCTGGTCCAGAAGGTTTCGCTGGGCCACACGGTTCATACAGATTCATCCACAGTGCTCAGCAGTGCATGTTTTCAGATTTCAACAGACTGTAATTGTTTCTGTATGTACATATGCATCATGCAAGGGTACAACAGATGCGGTATTTGGTAAGCAGTTGGCAGCAAGGTGGTGTTTGTACTTATTGGCAGAACCAGTTGAGCAGGACTAAAACTATCCTAGTTTCTCTCCAATTTACTCAGATCCGTCTCAACACATTGAACATATTGAAAGCGTCCATCCATGAAGATGTCTGCATGTATACTCATTTCCGAGAAGGCACGCTCGTCGCTCATCCATTGCCGAGCAGGCACGTGCGTGCCCATCGCCGGCGCGCATTAGCGCGCGTCCATGGCTGGGGCGCACGCGCGCGGCCATGGCCGGCATGCACGCGCGCGCGCCCATCGTCGGCACGCAAGCGCGCGCGCGTCCATAGCCGGCGCGCGCGCCGCGTCCTTACCCGGCGAGAACGCCGCGTCCGTACCCGGCGCGCACCCGCGCCCGTCCACAGCCGGCACTGACAGACCCTGACCGACGGGCGTGCTGCCGTCGGCGGTCCTGACAGATGGGCGGCGGGCCCGGCTCCCGCAGCTCCGGCAGCGGGCGGCAGCCATGGTCGGCATACACGCGCGCGCGCCCATCGTCGGTACGCAAGCGCGCGCGCGCCCATCGTCGGCACGCAAGCGCGCGCGCGTCCATAGCCGGCGCGCACCCGTACCTGGCGCGCACCCGCGCGCGTCCGTACCCGGCCCGCACCCGCGCGCGTCCACTGCCGGCACTGACAGACCCTGACAGACGGGCGTGCTGCCGTCGGCGGTCCTGACAGATGGGCGGCGGGCCCGGCTCCCGCAGCTCCGGCAGCGGGCGGCAGCTCCGTTGACTGTTCCGGCAGCTCCGGCAGCGAGCGGCGTCTCCGGCAGCGCTCAGCAGCGGCGCCAAGCAGCAGCAGCGGCTGAGCCAACAGGCGGCCGCGGAGGCACGCCCCCCGCCCCCCCCCCTTTGCACATTGTTCGTCCATGGAGATGTCTGCAAGCACGACCATTGTTGAGAAGGCACGTGCATCCATGGCTGAGCACTGAGCAGGCACGTGCGACCCCTTTGCACATTGTTCATCCATACATATCAATATAATTTACCTTATTGATTAGTGTGAGTCTTGCAAAATCTTAAACTCAGAAATACCACAAGGCAGGCTGCCTGGGTGAGTTGCTAATATGAACATGATGAACATTATACATTAGTGCAGTACCTATAAGTATCCATGCTGTGTGAAGGACTTGGCCCTCACGTTCATTCATTTGGTGATTGCACATGGTGGCATGTGTACCAATTGTTCTCCCTAACCCTTCTTACAACTTTGACTAGCAAGAAGAAGCTGGCAAAATGCAAGGAGCTTACAAAGCATGCTTATATGTAGATAACTGAGGATGATTCTCTCAATTGAAGCATGATCCACACTCAGCAGCTTCTTCTGTTCTGTTCCACAAACTAAAACTGAAATGACTCAATTTTCCTCAAAATATATTCATTTATCACTCATAAACAACAAAAATATACATTAAGTAGGTACCAGGGCAATAAAAAACATATAAGTTACATATTTTTTTCATGCACAGTCCTTTCACAGCAACAATATGTAGAAATGCACCAAGACGTTCACGGAGAGCCCACCCATAACAAACTATAGTTGAAGCCGGGGCTCTGCTGCAGCAGCAGGGGTGACGTACAGGGCACAGAGGTCATGTCACATCATGTTGTACAACCTGTTGTTCGAAAAAACAGATCAACATTGATTTTGAAAAACTGTAGCGCTTTCTTCAGTCACTTAGGTAAGCTTTCTCGCAAGACGTTACATTAGATTCACCACTCTTGACAAAATAATCAGATTGAAACTTAGCTCTTGTGCTTGATGCACTTACATTTCAATTTATTGAAATAAAACACTCAAATTTACCCTTGAAAATTGTTGACATTTAAATGATATGTACATCAAGATTTTGATGATCAGCAAACAAGCTATTCAAATCACACCCATATAATAATTTTGGCAATGTTGATAACTCTTGCTGTCTTATTGAAAAGCAAATCTTCAATTTGTTCATATCCAAATCCAATGCCAAGCACTGAAATCTTGTTGCAAGGCCCTAAAAACAACAGACAAAAACAAAACAGTCTTGTGGAAATCGCCAGCTTGATCGCCAGTGCGGTGCGGCGGCCTTGGCGAAATTTCCCAAGGCTGCTCTTTGTTTACATTTTAGCGATGGGCCAACTTGGCCGCCCAAGTACTTGTTTTGCGTGAGTAAGTACAATTTTGTCAATTTTGAAACGGCTATATCTCGCAAATTTTGGTACCGATTTACATTTTATGCACATCTTTAGAATCGGCAGAGTCTGGGGAGTTCATTGATTGGAAATTTATGCTGATTCCTTTCAATTTTTAAACCCTGATAATCCCTTTAAGGCTGTGTGGAAGCAATTAGGTGCCAGATTCAGATATTAGGGTCTAATAAGCATTTTGGGGCTGATCAGCAATTAGGTGCCAGAAACAGCTTTTTAGGGACCAGAAACAAATATTCCCCAAATTGAAATAACTGACGAGCAATTTCATCATTCTTGAGCAAACCACCTGATACTCTGACCTTGTAAAGGGCTGAAGACCATAGGAATCTTGTCAAGACCAACCCGCTGGCCTACCAACGGGCAACTGCTGATAAGTGTCATAGGCCGTGAACCCTCAGTCATGGATAAAGTAGTGGAGGTTCTTTCATCCAGGCCTCAGTGATAGTAAAGCCTTATCTTATCAGTGATTACCTAGAAAGACAGCGTGATCCGCCCTACTGGCAAGTCGGCCCAGACGGGACGGGCTCTCGCGACTCGGTAACGCGCTGCAGCGCTTCACCCGGCAATCGAGTCAAGTGGCAATGCCCCCCCCCCCGGCCCTGCCCCCTGTCTTATCATCTCACCCTACACTTCGAAACGGTTAGAGACCGGCCTACCTAGGACTACCGAACAAAACTAATGTATACCAACGAAAGGAGTCATCGAAGTCCCACTTTCCATCTAAAACTACTCGGCATTTTGACACATCCGAACGTCATACGATTCAGCCGTAGGCATCGTCCGTAAATTCGGTCATATATTAGCACACATGACACAACAAACACGAAAGCACAGCGTGTCCAAAACAAAGTCCATTGCTGGGGTGGTCCGACTCTCAATCTCCGAGCGACGTTAGAGAGATGCTCGTCTCGGTAGAGACACGACAGACGAAAAACGATTTATATCGGGCGCAAACCTCAGTTTGGTAGTGACAATGTGCAGTGTGGCGTGAACTGTATGGACGTGCTAGTTGACCAGATTCTGCAGAAATCAGGGGAACGCCGAGCCACGCCGCGATAAACGACAACGGTTCTGGCTAGGTCGAAATCATTGCACAGACTCATTCCATCCGATAAAAAATGCCACATTCACGGGACACTCCAGAAGGTACAACCTGATGCCCCAGACACTGCCGACAGCCGCTGAGCGATCCCCGCCACCCGAGAGCAGAGGGCGCGGTACGCTATTCCTTCTCCTCGTGCCGGCGCCGGTCCGATGAGCTCTTGAAGAAAGTCTCCGGGTTGGCGGGCGCGATATCGTTCTGGCGAGCGAACTCGACCAAGTCTCGCCTCATCGCGTACGCGTCCTCGCCGTCCGCGTAATATTTCGGCTCGATGTCAGATGTGCTGGAAAAAAACAGCGACCAGCCACATCAGTGCCACGGTAAGCACATGTGGTATCTTATACTTTGTAAAGTGGGTTATACGTCAGCAAATAGGCCTGAAGGGGAAAATCATCAAAGCATCAGTGTCAAAATATTCATATTATTCATTAATGAAACAGTAAATAAAAAAAGATAACAATGTTGGACACATCGAATGGAACCAACAAGTAGGTAAGTTGTAAAAAATAGAGGAACAATTTGAGTATGAATATGGATATTCGCAGTCGGATTCACTCTTTCTATTTGCAATTGCAAAACGACGCAATGCGCCTAGAAATCAAACTAGAAGTAACTGATACCGACCATGCATACTTCATGCATTGTCAAAAACTCATGACAACAGAAGCCTCCGTAACGCAGGAAACGTCCATACACAGAAACATACACGTCGATCCATACAATAAAGCAGCATAAAAGGTTTTGTGCCAATGCAGCTGGCCTGCAGACAGTATCCCCTCCCCTGCCCGCTTACCTAAATTTTAGCGTGTTGTTGTAGAGATTCAGCGCAGCGCGGTTGCTTTTCCTCACGTGCAGACTGACATATTTGGCGTTGAACACCTCGACCATAGCGCGCGCCGTCTGGTTCATGAGTTTCTGCGCCAGGCCGAGCCGGCGGTGCGAGCGTTTGACGGCCAGCGAGGTGATGTGGCCGTGCCGGTCGTCATCGTCCTCCGTCTCCTCCTCCATCTTGGCCAGCACGTACCTGAAGGAAGGTACGGGCAGAGGATGGCGACGACTGACCCCCAACGGCTGCCCGAGGAAACGGCACTTCGGCTGTCGGTTTGACTCAGCACAGCACAGCTATTCCCAGACTCCAGTTTTTAGACTTCAAGCACGCAGCCCCTCTAATGTACCACACTATCTTCCCAATCGCTCTTGATCTCGTTGAGCTAGGGTGCATATGTAGTTCTTTCGGCCCGGAATATCCATAATCCGTCGCCCACACCCGTGCCAATCATCCCACCCACACCCCGTTTCCAGCCCGTTTCAGCGAGCACTGGTGTAACCATACCCGGCCACTTACCCCACAATATTGCCTCTCTCATCCTCGGCCACGTAGCTGAGCTGCGGCCACGACAGCGCATGGTAGAAGTAGTACTTCATGAGGTAATTCTCCGGCAGACACAGCAGGTTGCAGTGCTGCATGTTCATCAGGTCATCTGGCGTAGCAGGGCGGACATTCATCGTGCTGCAAACGCAAACAGGGATGCTCGTTAACCCTGACACGCGCGGGGGGGGGGGGGTCGAACGGACTCCTCGGTTAAACAAACCGTCCGATCCTGAAGTTGATCAATTGTACACATACCCTGAAAAGTTCATGAACCTGACCCGAATGACCTTTGACCTGTTTCTCAAGACCATGTTTAGCGGTTAGCCGGAATCGCGATTCGGTGTATGTAGGCTCACATTATCCGCGCATTTCCAGTCTTGTTGTGATTGTAAACGTTTGAACATGTGAAATGATGTTGGTCCCATGCATGATGGTGGGTGTCGTCATATGAAGATCAGATCAAGGTCATTGACCTTTGATTAACCGTGGTTCACTTTTTCGAGTTTTACATACATGGATCTAGAGAGGTACTTGGAGCTGATTTTGAGTGTGGCACCCATTGGGACATTTACGAAGTTATTTTGGTGCCTTCGTATTAAACCTGTTACAAGGCTGTCAGCGGTGATTGATCAAAGTATGGAGTCTAATGGTGGTCTTTGTTTTGTGCTACGAGGTCTAGAATGGCTAAAAATTGAGTTTGAAAATTTGATGTCATCAATTTGAACAGTTTTTTTCGCTATAAGTTGGCCAAAAAAAAGAGATATAGATCTCAAATTTTGTATGTGGATAGAAGGCGGTAATATGACATAGGTATATTCCGTTTTTCGAAATTCAAAAAAACTTTTGGATTTTTGGCTATTATATTAAAAAAATCTATTTGTTAATTTTTGGGGGTCAAAATCCAACAATTTTAAAAAATACGAGAAAGCAGTTTTGTAGCCCTGTTAATTCCACACCTTTTATTTGTGAAACCTTTTCTGTAGGTATCTCTAGAGCTGTAGGCCTGACAGCTCTTCCCGCGAAACCTTTTTTTGGGTCGAAAATGGCAGAAATGACGTCACTCCGACGTCATTACCGGCCAACCTATCATAGCCTTTGGAAAAAATGTTGGTCACAATGTGCAATAGCTATTCACGGGAGGGTACTGAAGGTTTGGTGACGATCGGCGCAGCGGTTCTGGAGATATATCGAAAAAAAACTAAGGGGGGGGGGGGGGGGCAAAAAACTGCCCCCCCCTGCCTGGAAGGTTAAAATTCTGATGCAATCTCACAGATGGGACGCAACTTTCAAGCCCCCTACTTTCCATGATGTCTTTTGTATAGTTTTGTAAAGCTGGCACGTCTCTTCAGGGGTTCTTAAATTCCTCTTCTGACTCTTCTATCTCTATCCTACTGGACATTGTTGGAACCCAACCAGGTGAGTGAACCAGGTGAGTGACTGAAGCTGCTTCCTGAAGTACTCTAGGATGCATGCATAGGTGGGCATCGTTCCCCCAAAATTGTAACTTCGTTACTCGTTCCTGAGTTCCTTCAAAACGTGACTTCCGTTACTCGTTCCTCCGTTCCTCTGCATATAATGTGACGGAAGTTCTTTAGTCCGTTACTCCGTTACAGCAAAATAAAATAAAGGTTACAATGTTGAGAATTTCACACATTTTTTAGACCATTCTGACACAAACTAAACCTACCGAGTACCGAGAAAGCGGAATGCCCACCAAATCTACCAAGACAGCGGGCACTGATTGGACACTAAACCCTGGAACGTCTGGTGGTACTGATGCGCATCACTTGTCCCCGGCCAGATGCCGGTTGCCCTTCACGGACACTAGACGTTCCAGGTTGGCATCTGAGAGCATTGGCGGCGGAACGGGGCGGGGGGGGGGGGCACCGGCGCACCGTGCCCCTTTGATTTTGGCATTTTAACATTACCCCTATGTGCATTGCATGCAAAGAATGGGACCAAAAGTCGGCAGTGCCCCCCCCCTTAAAATGTCTGTGGGTATGTTGAAAGATCAACCCACTCGGACAACGAAAAGTAACGGAGGAACGAAGAAACGGACTAAATTATGAAGTGTAACGGAGGAACGAACAACCGATGTAACGGAAGTTACTTGGTCCGTTACCCTTTTTAAAATGTAACGAGTCTGTTCCTCCGTTCCTAAAAAATTGTAATGGCGGTCCGGAACGGAGGAACGGATCGTGCCCACCTATGGATGCATGGCAATCGGGCCCGGGGCACTATTTGGGTTTAGAGAGAGCAGTTTCGCCTTCACCACCTCAGCAGACACTTCGAGGTCTTGTAGCATGGGTCCCTAGAAACCTGGGTCAAAGTTAGGACAGGATTGGTCAGCAGGCATGAATATGCTGCTGAAGTATCTGCTCAGCAAAGCTGATTTTTCCTGGTTGTCAGATGTTAGTGTCCCGTTTTCGTCACAGAGTTCCTTGATCCTGCTTCTGGTTTTTAGTCTCAAGTTTGGGTATCTCCAAAACTTTTGGGTTTCGCTTAAGCTGCACAACTAGCGGTATATGTCAAGTTTAGGTCCTAACTACAACTGTGGCGCTTTTGATACGAATATGAAACAGCAAAAATTTTAGGTTTTAGGTTAGGTTAGGTTGTAGGTTTGTGGGTTTTAGGTTGTAGGTAGGTAGGTTTGTAGGTTGTAGGTTGGTAGGTTATAGGTAAGTAGGTAAGGTTAGGTCAGGTTTGATTGTTTTTTTCTTTTATTTGCGAGACATATGAGTATCATTTTTGGATTCAGGATGTCAAATAATGTAAAAATATGAAAAATGTATCAATGAAATCTTCTTAGGACTTAAACTTGACATTTACCCAACTAGCTGGGTCTCATATTCTTTTTTGAGATGCCTGGTTAGCTCTGTGAGCCTGTTTCTGCATCTTGTGAGCCTGGCATGATTGAGGACGTCGCTGATTGGACCGTATTCGCTCCACAGTTCTTTCTTTTGCTTACGTAGTTGCATAGGTGTCCTGTACATGTACTAATTCTTGAACAACACTACATTCTGGAACAAGTGCAAGAAATTCCAGAATGAACACAGCACTAACATCACCGGGATCAAAACCAATGACATCAGTATTATTCAGTACTCAACCCATGGTGGAGTGAAGTAGTGCCATCCCCCTGAAGCTATCAGTCAAATAAGATTGCAATGTTGTGTAAGGACTCCTGCTGCTTTTAGCTTTTCCTGTAACAATGAGCATGATCAATAAATAGAGCACCCTTGTTTTAACTTATGGATGGATTAATTGCACTAACCTTATTCAATCAAGTCCTTCTATCAACAGCCGCAATTACTGTTTGAACCAGAAATCCAAAGTAAAAATGGAATTCCAAAAATAAACTGTGGAAATTCCAATCGGCGGCTGAAACCTTCAGTCGAGAATCCGCAGATCAATCGGAGAAATGATAGAAGAACCACGAAGAGAGATATCGTGCGTGATCGCCGCGGTCACCCATGTGATGTGGTAGCTTTCACTTGAAGTGACGACGGAAGTAACCCTTCAACGTAGAGAAAAAAACTTCATTAAAATTCTGAGTTACATTATTTCAATTCGATGTGAAGGAGGATTTCCGACGCATTCCGAAACATTTTTTTTTGCAGATATGTCCGAAGCGGTCAAAGTTAACTTCTGCAAACAAAAATTTCGCAATGAGAATTGTCTTTCGAAAAATTAAAGGTGCGAATAAAGGCAAGTGCTCTATTTGGTAGCCATTATCAACCTCCAATAATAATTTTCGAATCCAAAGCTGCTTGACGTCACGAAAACTACAAGTTGATATAAAAGTTCAGCATTTTTTTATTGATTTTGAACTGTATAAAGTGAACTTTCGGAATAAAAATAATAGTTAAATGAAGTTTTATTCACATAAAGCTTGCTTTTTGTCCAAAAATACTCAGAAATGTAACTTTTATTTTTATTTGTGACGCAATCAAAGTTTATTGGGAAGTTAATAAAAAGTGGCTGTTCCTCGTTTCAGTTTTGACCAGCCTTGGTCAAAGCCAAACCAAAAGTGAGGCTCTCTCTATCGTCTGGAGGTTTCGAAAGATGCTCTCCAGAGATGGCGCTAGTAAGTTTGGCTGACATGACGTCATGCTTAAAAGTGATGGGTTTTGTGAGAGCAAATGTAATAATAGTTGAAAATTTTGTACTTTTGCTTAATTGAGAAAAAATAAATTTACAATTGTTCAAAACAGCGTTTTCCTCATTCATCCTTCATTGTTTTAAGAGGAATATAGACAGTTTAAATCTTTTGTCTTGACCGCAATTCGCACACGCACTAAATTAAAAGCTGGAGTTTTGTGCGTTCGTAAGTCGTGATTTGAGAAAATAAATTGACAATAATCTATTGCACTTTTGCTTTACAATCATTTTTCAATGTAGGTAAATGCATGAATAATTAGAAAATAGGCATATCTTTGAAATATTATGATTTTCCACAAGCAAACTTTTCCAAAAACTTGAACTACTTACAACTGACGAACGCATCCAATAATCTGGATGTCTTAGGATGAGTTCGTCATTTTTTTTCCAAGGAAATACGATACAGTTTAAGCTATTTTTCCGATTTATTAGGGTACTTTTGCCAATGAATTAATAAATAAACGACAACAATTAATCTCATTATCAACCATACTCGGAAGAATTTTCTTCGCATAAGCGCGAACACATCCGCGCTTTCATGAAAAGTAGTGCCTGTAGAGGTCAGGACTGCTGCTTTATGTTTCGCAAGGTGGCGCAGCGCGCAGGGTACCGACTACCGAGGCTGAGGTCTCCAGACTCTCCACCACGATTTAGCTTGGAAATGGCCAATGGGGAAGGTCTCACCCAAAAAACGGACGCCCTTTTACACAGCTGCATAACGAAAATGAATTGTTGGCATAGCTGACCATACGTCCCCTCCCCCTCTCCGCCCCAGCTCAATTGGAAACAGGGCTGCGGAGTCGATGGATTTTCGGCGACTCCGACTCCGACTCCGACTCCGGCTTTCAAAAACTAGCTCCGACTCCGACTCCGACTCCGGGCAGAATTGTCGACTCCGACCGACTCCAACTCCCGACTCCGACTCCGCAGACCTAGCAGGGATGCGGAGTCGACAGATTTTCGGTGACTCCGACTCCGACTCCGGCTCGGGTTTCTAAAATCGACTCCGACTCCGACTCCGACTCCGGTCACAACTGTCGACTCCGACCGACTCCGACTCCGACTCCGACTCCGACTCCGCAGCCCTGATTGGAAATACGCCTATTTTCCTTAGTCAGTTATATTCTGGCTAATTTCTCACTCTTCTGCAGATGTCCACTGCGTAAGTCGTGTGCTTGCGTAAGTGTGCCAACTATATAGTGCTGCCTACACTCTACAGTGCCTACTGCTTCCACCATTGTCGTTATAATTGGTGATTCTCAGGTCAAAAGTTACACAGTGGTCTCAGAGAACAATCGTTTCAACTAATTAACGATTCAAACCGTTGCATTCTACTTATATTCCGGTCAGTTCTGCTACTAAACGATTCCGGCAAAACACTCTTTAGGTTATGTATTAGCGAACCACCACACAAAATTCGCCCAATCAATGGTCAGTTATTACTGCTGGGCTGAACTGTCATACGCTATATAGCCTATTGCAGTCAATATTTTCAGAACGATACCGACTGACGAAACACAACGTATTCGCGGATTCGTACATACGTTGGCACCCAGGTGGCCTGTCAGCAGCCGCACAAATTGAGATGGTACACCGTAAAGCATGCCTTTCCACACAGGCACAAGCACAGGGACACAAATTTTCAAAATCCAAACTTATTCCAATACTGGTCAAATACTAATAGGCATAAAGTTTTGAGGTTTTCTCATGTTCATTCTTCTTTCAACACACGCGGCAGACTGCAGCAGAACATCTCACAGAGCTGCGCTGGCTGCAGTCATGAGCTGGGACACGGTTTGTGACCAATGACCGATCGGGGGTGCCAGCCTCCTCCCGGCACGCGATGCACTGGCCGCCGCGCAGTCGATGTCGGGGCACCGCCGGCATTCGCCGACAGGGTTCCATCCGATTCGGTGTATTGGTAATGGTGGCAGCCCGAACAGTGACCCACGCGAAGCTGGTGGACGTCGATGGCCGATGAGCGATGCCCTTCCGCGACCGGCGGTGGCAGTCGGTCCCACATCAAGAACAGATACCAGTCATGTGGTCAGTCGGCGACGGCGCGGTCGCGAGCCGATCTGATGGTCGCGCGGTGGGCGTTGCCGACGTCCACCGGGACCGTCGACTGGGGGAGCGCGGCCGCCTCTTGGCCGCCGCCTCTGGTCGGCGCGCTCGTTGCGCTGTGGGACGGCATCCACTGCAAGTCGTTCACTGTGAAGCGGTCGTTTGACCGGGCCTGGCAGGCGGGGAAAGGGGGCCTCGGATGAAGGAAAACCATCCCTCAGGCCAGCTGCCTCTCCACCTCACCATGGCAGATAAGCGGACACCCTCGTGATCATCGCAGCGATGATTGCCAATTGGTGTGTCATTATGGGAGAGGATGCCAGCCTCCTTTGCAAGATAGTCTGCAGCCCGACCCATTGCCTGTGGCAGCAGACTGGGCTTGATAATGCGGTGCAGGACACACCAAACGTAAGCGGCCATCTGTACCCCTGTGCAGTCTGGGCTGACTGACTCAAGAGCCCAGAGTTGCCCTCCCCCACCATTCTGTGCACGTGATAACTGGATGGGACATGCCATGGTCAGCATCTGTTCAAAAGCTGCTCTAAGCATGTGAAGCTCCACTGGCATGCTCCAGCACGGCCACAGTCAGTTCTCACTTCTCAGTTGAACCTCCAATGGAAACCAATCATGAAGTAGAGATCAGGGCGCCTCTCACACTACAGCACACTCAACGACTGAGGCGCCAGCTCATCACTTGCAGGTGGTTCTTGCCAACAGCAATGCCAGCAACTCACATCAGGTGATAACAGCAGTGTACAACTGCAATTTTTAAGCATCTATGCTCTTTCTGGTTTTCTCCTGTTGAGATCCACTGCCATGCATGAACTTGATGGGCTTTTGTTGTGCTCCTCCCATGTGCAGACAGATTTCCGCTGAAACAAAGTAAAGCAAATGTGATTAATAATGGCCCTGTTTCACCACCCAGACACTGTGTGCGCTGGCAGCTATGCTATGGTAGCTACGGCATACCATAGCGTCACTCAAATGACGTTGCATGTGATCTCTTTGTTTATGATGAATCGCACTTGGAACAGAGTGAGAGGTCCTGAAAAACCAAGTACCTACCAAGAACAGAGGTTTGAGTTCAAATACTGCTAGCATGCTGCTGGCGCTGGCGCCACAGCGTGCTAGCATTCTGGGATGCTGTCATAGCTTAGCGTCAGAGTGAAGTTTGTTGACACTGCCATGGAAACCCAATGCTCCGACACACGCAGCACACTGCAGTGCTCTGCCGTGAAACACCACCCATGAACATTAATTGCATGACCAGGATCGAAGCAGTGTGGCAGAGTGCTTTTAATTTTAGTTACACTTTCTAGAGATTAACAAGTTGTTAGTGAAATGGCTATTCATTATTCCTATTACCATTGTCTAAATTTCACATCTCAAGACAGCATTGACATGTTATCTAAAAAAAGGTTTAGACTTCAGGTGGTCCCGGATTCAGTTATTAAGAAGAACAAGGGCAAAAAATTGTCCAAAAAAAAAATTAAAAATACCTGCCTTCATCAACACCTCATCTAATGACATATCCTCCATGCAATAAGCAAAAACCGTTTGAATAACAATGTAATATTTTGCAACCGCTGCACCATTACTGTCACGTACGCTATCCCTAGAGTGGTTGCTGGTAAGTAAGTGGTTGTCGTCATCAACTCGTCATGCAGCAGCTGATTGGGATGGGCGGGGCCTATTTTTATCCAGACGATAGAGAGAGCCAAAAGTGATGCGTGTTTTGTGTGGGATTTGGGCAATTTGGGACGGTTTCGTGTTTGTGAGCATTTATTATTGCATATTATTTGTAATTCCAAGGTGTCAAATAATTGGTGAACTTTGACTTGATCCTACTGAAGAAAGTTTTTAACCAACCCCTACCCCTACCTGCTTCCAAGTTCTATAATTGTATGCCAAATTTGAGCGTTTGTCTAATCGTTCCGGAGATCAAGATCAGGATAATTGATCAATAGGTAGGTATGTGAGACTTGAGGGCAACCCTCCCTCACTTACCTCCAAGGTACCTATTTCATGCTTGTGCAGTTTCAGTGTAGTAGGCCCGTCCCGTCCATACGAAGACATCCATACACTATGCCGGACGCCTGTGAGACCCTCTTGCGCCGAAATTCGGCACAAGCGATTTTGCGCCAAATTTTCTGGACCGAATACCGATCAAAGCTATATCAACCAGACAGCATTCCGGGGCCTTGAACGCCCCCCTTTGTTTGAGCGTCTGAATAAGTTTTTTATTTCTACAGAAACCCAATACCTCAATACGCTTAGCGCATTGTAGCGTTGTGCTGTGAAACGAGGCCGGTGCCGGAAGTTCCGGGGCCACAAAAGTCGGCGGAGGAGTGGTGTGCGAGGCTGGCGTGAGCCAGCGAGGGCCGAGCAGTGGAGCAGCACCTGCTTAGGCAGTAGGCACATCAGCCTCTTCTTGGCACACCGCGCAGAGCGCCGCGGTGCACCACTTGTTGTCTGGGCACTGCTCACATGCCGCAGAGTGGAGACAGCCCATTATGTGCATTTACTGGAGCGAGCGGCCCCAGTGGCCCGCCCTCATCTGGTGCACCGAAACGGCGTCCTCTCGGCTCTCCGGGGATAGGGAGCGGCGGCGTACTCCCGAAGAGTGGCTTGAACAGTGACTCGGAACAGTTGCTGCCAGTGCTGGAAATGAGGTCGCTTTCTGATCCCGGCGTTTTATTCCCGGGTGGGTTAGCCCCGTCTAGCGCTTAGCCTTTCGAGACTCTCAGAGCCGCGGTTGTTTTCGCCGCTCGGCCCATTCGAGATGCAAAGTTTATAGTCACACGAAGTTTATTTGGGGCCTCTGAATATACGACTTGGACCCTTTTCTTTCATCTATATGCGTATTTTTAACGGTAACTCCAGGCTAAGCTGTCTGGCTGGCCCTAAATAAGCTTTGTGTGCCTATTAACTTTGCATCTCGACTTGGGCGAGCGACGAAGACAACCGCGACCCTGAGTGGGACCCGAAAGGCTTAACGCTGGACGGGATTAACCCGCCCGGTGAATAAAACGCCGGGACCAGAAAGCGGCCTCATTTCCAGCACTGGTCGCGCCATTGCGTGCGAGGCAGCACAATGGACCGCCCTGGTCAGCAACCGGGCGTTTGAGGGCAGGGCCGCCGCTTGTTTCGCCAGGTCGTCTGCGCTCTAGCTCAGTGGGTAGAGCATTGGACTCCCGGCAGTGAGAGCCCGGGTTCGAGGCGCTCTGGCGCTCGATATTTGAGACTCCTGACGGCCCGGACGGGGACCAGGATGGATGGTCTGTGGTTGGTGGGAGCAGCCAGTTGAAGTCAGTTGAGTGGGACAGGCCGTGTCCGGCACGTTAAACTTTGGCATCTAAATTCTCCCGTTACCCGAAATTGCGCGATCGGACGGTAGGGGTCGGGCTCCCTCCACTACGCAACAAGCTCAGCTTAGCGTGGGATCCGGCTCTGTCAATCCGTCCATTCAAATATTCCAGCTAAATTTATAAAAATGAAAAAAACAGCTACCATGGTACTGCACTTTCGGCTTCTTCATGGAATATCGAGTGCGATGTGATGATCAGGAGAACTGTATGAGATATCAGGTGATATAATTGTAATCGTTCAGGCGATCACCAAGAACCTTCAAAGTGATGACTTGAACTCAATAAGGGCAGGAGAGATGACCGACCGGGCAGGCAAGAAGTTATACCTATTTGTTCATAACGCGTTCCGAGAAGAAACGTGCTGTTGTGCAGCTGACGGCTGCAGACTGTGATTATAATTTGATAACTTTGGTTGCTGCGTTTAGAGGCCATTTAGAGGAATTGGACGGATGTTGGTGCGGATATTGTGCAACATGAAACCTGCGTCCCTTCATAAGGCTCCTTTTAAAAAGCTGTGCACCACTCCTCCAGCCTTCCTGGCATCAGGAATAGTCTGGTGCTTGGAGGACGGGATGAAGCTACCCTACAAAAATACAGCATGTGAATCGGCCCAGTTGTTGCTGAGATGTGAGCCTTGCAGAACCGTGACCATGGCCAGCCGGCCACTCATGCTCAGTAATTTTTGCTGTTCTGTGAAAGCCTTCGCTTGCTCGCTCATTCGTAACAAAAGACTACACTTAGCCCACTTTACTCGCTCACTCGTATTCAAAAGTGGAATATCTTTGGCTGGGTGATTGTTGAATCTAAGATGAATCGAAGTTGTGAATGTTGTTGTCGTCAGCTCCAGCTACAACACTGCTATTTCAGTTCAAAGTTTGAAATTTCCTTGCCTGATCTATTCACCTAGCTGGTTTCTACTAACCTTTTCAGCTCACCTTTTATGATTTGTGATATCCCTATCGTGCTGACAAAATTCTGAGAGTCCTGTCCTCTGAGCCATGATTTCCACTCACAATTTTTGTCTGTTCCAGGCTGGCATCCTCATTCGCTGCAAATTTATCAGGGTAAAGCCTAGTGTGAGGTGGTCCATTTTGGTCAGTAGAGGTCACCGCTGCTGAAGCCATGATGGCAGACCTACACTCATTGATTGTTCAAGAGATTCCCAAGGGGAGACAGGACCTGATTGACAGCCACACAAACTTGGAGCGTGTCGCAGAGTACTGTGAGGCCAACTACATCGATGTGAGTAAATTCTGCCTTTGTTTTTGTTACCATTTCTCCTAATTATTTTCTACAATGTGTGAAACTTTGCATGTCTGGTTATCAATTATAGTACCTATGTGCTGTAATCATGAGATGATGTATCATTCCAATGCAAAGTAGGCTGGAGCCTACACATGGCTGGAGCTTCCGCATTGGCCTTTTTAGCTTCTTGTTTCCACATTTACTTGTTTTCTGCATACTGCAGTCGGAAAACCGTCGCGGAGCTCTCGAAGAAACAAAGAACTTCACCACCCAGAGTCTGGCCAGTGTGGCCTACCAGATCAACACACTGGCGTACAACTTCATACAGATGCTGGACTTGCAGCAGCAGCAGATCTCTGACATGGGCAGTCAGATCACAAACATCGCGCAGGTAACAGCTGTTCGCCACCTTTTAGTTAATGTTTTGGAGTGCCTTCACTGGTTTTGAGTTCCACTGTTCTGGTGCACTGTTTGAATTAAGTGTGTGTTGGTACTCAAGGCCTCTATATGATTATGCTGAAGCATTCGAATTTAAAGAGTGGGAATTTGTATGCTCAGCCTAGCTAGCTAACATTGTTGTGATTGTACTATGAGGATTTATCACGTTTGTTTCCCTCCTCCTCCATCAGACGGTAATGGTTCACAAGGAAAAGGTGGCCCGGCGCGAGATTGGTGTGCTCACCACCAACAAAACGTCCACCCGCCAGTTCAAAATCATCGCCCCCGTCAACCCCGAGCGGCCCATCAAATATGTGCGCAAACCCATCGACTTTGGAGGTCAGTACATTTATTTCACTGATCAGTATTTTGGCTTGTCGGATGACTTTGTCTTTTTTTATCATATTCTGCCGAATGTAGTTCATGCGTAGAACAGTATATCGTGTGTCCGTGTGGCATCGTTTGGTTGATGAATTTTGCAGTCCGGGCGCCCCAAGCCCCCAAATCATTACCATCGTGTATGACATCGGTCGTTGTCTGTGTGTGATAGCGCTGGACGACATCGGCCATGGTGTGCGAGTGCACGGCGGCTCGGCCGGCATGGCGCGGCCGGTGCGCCAGAACTCGACCTCCTCACAGGGCTCGTCGGGAGCGGCGTCCGCCGGCGGCGGTGGGGTGTACGCCAGCGGTCCGGCGCCCACCACCAAGCCGCCGACGCCGCCGCAGCCGGCGCGCTCGGCCAGCACGCTGAGCAGGAACAACAAGGAGTACCGCACGCCGCCGGCCATCGCGCCGCCGCAGGTGCCCAGCAACTACGCCGTCAACTACCCGATGGGCCACCCGCGCCGGCAGGAGGCGGGCCGCGCGCCCGGCTACTCGGCCGTGCCGCGGCCGGCCGGACCGCCGCCGGCCAGCCCGGCGCCCCAGGTCGGCATGGTGCACCCCATGCACCACGAGCAGCCGACGGCCGCGCCCGGCGCCGGAGGCGAGAGCATCTACCGGTGAGAGTCGCCCTACACTGATATCTGACGCCGGATGTCGGCAAATTGAACAATGCAAACGAACGTCGGTATATGCATTTTAACTGCTTAGTTCCTGTTGACATATCAGCAAAATATATGATAGTTCGTGCTGTCATAGGCGGATGCATTTCATCCCAAATTATTTCGGATTGCCACATTTTACGATTGGGGAAAGCTTTTGTCTTCTTTTTTTTTCTGTTCCCTTTACGAAACGGACAAGGTACGACTAGCTGAGCTGTCCGTGAATCTCCATATCACCGGGGGCCTGTCCCGGCCGCCGTCATCTGACAATGTGGGACGCGTCTCTAACGTGAACTCGTCCGGCAGGTCCCGCAGCCAGCGAGGCAGCGAGAACGGCGAGCCGGCCTACCGGCCCGGCATGAGGATGCCGTCCTCGTCCGGCATGTCAGTGAGCGCGGCGTCTACTGGCGGACGCAGCAGCACCTCCAGCATTCAGTGTGAGTAGTGGGGGAGAGTGTATCCCTCCTCTCCCTCCACTGGCGGACGCAGCAGCACCTCCAGCATTCAGTGTGAGTAGTGGGGGAGAGTGTATCCCTCCTTCCCTCCACCGGCGGACGCAGCAGCACCTCCAGCATTCAGTGTGAGTAGTGGGGGAGAGTGTATCCCTCCTTCCCTCCACCGGCGGACGCAGCAGCACCTCCAGCATTCAGTGTGAGTAGTGGGAGGTATTATACCCCCCCCCCCTTTACAATAAACGGACGCAGCAGCACCTCCAGCATTCAGTGTGAGTAGCGGGAGGTATTATACCCCCCCCCCCTTTACAATAAACGGACGCAGCAGCACCTCTAGCATTCAGTGTGAGTAGCGGGAGGTATTATACCCCCCCCCCCCCCTTTACAATAAACGGACGCAGCAGCACATCCAGCATTCAGTGTGAGTAGTGGGAGAGAGTGTATCCCTCCTTCCATCCACCGGCGGGCGCAGCAGCACCTCCAGCATTCAGTGTGAGTAGTGGGAGGGATTATACCCCCCCCCCCCTTACAATAAACGGACGCAGCAGCACCTCCAGCATTCAGTGTGAGTGTTGATATGCCGGCTTACCACCGCTTATCTGATTGACATTGGCAGGCACAGGACAAGACCAGCCGCGTTCGCCAGAGCTGCGAACTCACTTTCTATCACTCGACCCTGCTGTTCCTCAGCGTGCAACCGATTGCAAGTGGTGGTGCTAAAAACGAATTTCATCGATTCTCCGCTGTCATTTACGCTTTGTGCTGCTGAACACTGTCACTATGTTAACTTAACTGTTATTTTACATCCACGCTCTAAAAGTGCTCCGCTCGACAACCAAACCAACCGCTTGCTGCTGCATAACACATGATACATACCGTCTAACAACTGTTAACCGCCTGTATCTGACTGATATGGTGTGGGTCTAACTGCAGCTCCCCTCCATTCTCTGTATCTTGTTTCGCTGGTGGCCGGTGCTACGACCGCCCGCGTCTCACCCCTTGCGCTATTCCGACCTCTAACTGCTCGTGCTCACCCGGTATGGATCGTCTGCTCCTCCGACAGCCTACGGCGGGATGTCGGCTACGCTGCCCGGTATGCCGCCGGCCTCTGCTCGCAGCTCGGGCACCAGTATTCACTGTGAGTGGGCCGCTCCGGCCGCGGTGGGGAAAGAACCGTGATACATTCTGGTGGGTTTGGAGTGCATGGGTGGTGGCGGGGGCTAATGGGCGCGAATCGTTGCTAGGGTCAGAGGTTGTCTGCCTGCAGTGTGCCGATAGCTTTATTGCCAGCTCCATCAGTTGCGAATGGAAGCTTTGTTTATTTATTGTTAGGTCAGAACGTTGGTAAGGGTTACTGCTACGTAATGAACAGCTTTCGTCTGGCTTTCGATACTGCATTTTTCGAGCTGCATTATGCATATGCATTGCTATTGGGCAATCATGAGAGCTGGATGATGGTGTCAGATCAGGAATCAGTCTGAACTCAGCTACCGCTGCTTTCTGCTGTGTTGGGTGACGGGACACCCCCGCCTAGGTCGACCGACTATCACCCCTCCCTGTGGATGGTGTGCGGTATGACGGTGACTTAGTCCCGCTATCCAATTCCGCGGTCTTTTCTTTCGGTAACTTGCTTACCGCCTTGATCTGTCCTGATTTCCGATTATAGCTGGGGCATTCCACGATAGATCGACCAAAGCCGTACACCCTCATATTTTATTTTTTGCTTAAAATTGGTCTAATGGGTTGTGATGGGCGGGGAAGCCAGCTGTGCCAAGGATTTTTTTCTTCGAACAACGGTTTCCGAGATATAGCCTCAGGCAATTCCTGGAGGTCACGCTGCAACCCTATGTTTGGCGGCTTATAACTCAGAAACTATTGGTTTTCTATGGTAAAAACTTAATATGGTTCAACTCGCAATCAACCAACAAACGTTTTGGCTATCTCGGATTTTCGATTTTTGAAAATTTTGATCACGTGACATCTTGACCTTTTTTTCGAAGAGTGACCTTGATATTTTCCCAACTGAAAGTCGCAATTATGTCTGATGACGATTAAAGCCTTATCAATTGTCATTCATATGCGCAAATAAAAAAGTGGCTTTCGGCCTGCGTTGACCTCAGGTCAGGTCATTTTTATGACCTGTCCATTATTACGAGCGAGAGCGACGCGAGATCTCGATAATAAAGCAAGATAGCGACAAGCGGTAAACGGTACAGGATTCACACGGATAAGAGAGAGAGAGAGAGAGAGAGAGAGAGAGAGAGAGAGAGAGAGAGAGAGGAGAGAGAGAGAGAGGAGTGAGTGGAGTGAGTGAGAGTGAGAGTGAGAGTGAGAGTGAGAGTGAGAGTGAGAGTGAGAGTGAGAGTGAAGTGAGAGTGAGTGAGAGTGAGAGTGAGAGTGAGAGTGGAGTGAGAGTGAGAGTGAGAGTGAGAGTGAAGTGAGAGAGAGTGAGAGAGAGTGAAGAGAGAGAGTGAGAGAGAGAGTGAGAGAGAGAGTGAGAGAGAGAGAGTGAGAGAGAGAGAGTGAGAGAGAGAGTGAGAGAGAGAGAGAGAGAGAGAGAGTGAGAGAGAGTGAGAGAGAGAGAGAGTGAGAAGAGAGTGAGAGAGAGTGAGAGAGAGAGAGTGAGAGAGAGAGTGAGAGAGAGAGTGAGAGAAGAGTGAGAGAGAGAGTGAGAGAGAGAGAGAGTGAAGAGAGAGTGAAGAGTGAGAGAGAGAGTGAGAGGAGAGTGAGAGAGAGTGGAGAGAGTGAGAGAGAGATAGAGAGAGTGAGAGAGAGAGT